AGGGAAAGCATGTACTGTGCTGTCACCGTGTTCAACTATGGTAACACTACTGTGGGGTTGACTGCTTGGTGGGTGATTTATGGATGGTCTCCTTTGTGGTGACAGTGACAGACACAGAAGGAGTCTTTGGGGATTATGACTTAGTCAGGGAAACTGTAGTATCTTGAGTAATTCAGGAATCTGGGGATTTTTGTCACTGAGCACTAAATGGCATTTAAAAGCACACCTAAGCTACTCTGATGTATGCAGTATTAGCTCTTCTTGGGCTAGAAAAGAAACCACGGATTTCTCATGTGCCATCAGCACTCCCAGTGATTTTTATCAAGTGATGTGGTGCTCCTCTTCTGCAGCACTGTCACCACAGAGATGATGGAAGGAATAATTTCTAAGTACTGGAGATAAGACAGAAACCTTTCATTCCCCCTCAGTATTTTTTTCCATTGTAAAATCGTAAAACTTAAAAGTCCAAACAGCTTTAAGAATCTGTCTCTCCAAAGGAAAAGGGATGGTAAGACAAAAGTTATTAATTTAAGTGAAAATTGTCATCTAATTAGCTATATTTGAAAATGGAGATCCCTAAGCAGCTTTGCTGGAATGTTAGAAAGCTTAAGGAAGTAAAATCCATGAAAATCCATGATTTAGAGAATTAGACCATGTTACCTAAGGCTGAGATAATTGCAAGAGAATAAAGGAAGGCTGGAAAAAAGGCAGTACACCAGGTGCTGCTTTTGGGGAAGGGAGGATGGAGGTGGCAATAAATCTGGATCTCACCAGCTCCGAAATGGCTTGCTCCATCTTCTCCCTGATACAGTGGGGACCATACCTGTAGTCTCTCTCCATCTCCCTGCAGGTACTGAAACTACTCCCTGAGCACCTGTTGCGCAGCTAGAAAACTGCTCCCCTGAGATTTATATGTATATTTATATGTATTTATATTTAGTGTTACAGCAGTAGAATGGCACTGCCAAATGCCTGAGAGCACTGTCTTCCCAAGGCAGCTTCTGCCAGGCTTTTTACATAACTGCAGCTCCCTCAAAGCCTCACTGTAGACATTACTGCCAGCAAAACTTTTAAACACAGAGCAAGATCTGGTGTGGATGGGCTTGGATCAGCCTAAAACACCATTTATCAAAATGACTATTACCAAGCAGAATAAAAATAAACTACAGTGACATAAGTTTTGACTAGTAAATAAAGGTTTGTTTTGTGTCAGTGTAAATTACTACTTCTTTTTTTTTCTTTTTTTCTTTTTTTCTTTTTTTTTTTTAAATCAGACCCCTAATGGACATATTGCCACAACTGGTGTGTTAAACTGAAAAACAACTGTAAGTGCAGACCAGGTCTTAGATCAGCTGTTCCCACCTTTGGATCATGACCCCATGTGCCTGATGCGAGTTCCTCTTTTGCAATTGAATTTCCAACAGGAATTGGATCCTTCAACAAAATATTTTCCAGAAAGGGACTAGGGAAATGTTAAGAATCAGTGGCAGACACTGCCTGGGGATGTGAGTGCACGTCTTCACCATTTCCAAGCAAAGAGTGTACAAACCTTGAGAAGCACAGCTGTGCAAGGGTTGCAGAGACATTTTGCCTTAAGTATCTGATATGTTCTGTAACGCTTATGATTCTCAAAATATCCAAGACCATTATCTAAAGGAGGGGACTGATAAGAAAGGAAAAATCTCAGCAGCTACAGTGAGTTCCAGTTTGAGCTTGCGCTAAGGACTTAATGGGATAGCCACCTACGCTGTTACCCAGAGGAGAAAATGAACTTGTTATCCCTGGGATCTTGAGAGGATTGAAGAGTCAAGATCTTAAGGCTGAGCTGGGTTCAGTGAACTCAGGTTGTGAAGGGTGCTACAAATCCTACAGGACTCCCAAGAGCATCCAAGTGGTTTTGACTCTCCCACATTTCACCTTCCCTGATGGCCTCATACGCCTTTAGAAACTGGGGCCCAGGGAAGATTTTTCAGCAAAAGGACAAGACAGCAGACCCATTTGCCAGATCTGCCTGTAAATAGGTCGCTCCACAAGGAAGGATGTTTCTATCTGAGGATTCAGTCATATGTGCTTCAAATTGCCGCCTCTGATCCTTGTTTTGAGTACGCAGCTAAAACTTCAAGCCTTTTTGGAATGACTTTGATTTATGCTGCTCTTCAGAAACAAAGGAAAACATGCAAAGCTCTGGATGCCAAACACCTTTTAAGTGAGCCGTATACAGCTCACACCACCAGAAAAATAGCATACATTTGTCAAAGAGCACATCAACTCTGCAGAGGAGCCAGAAGCAGTAACCCAAGTCTCCTTATTTGACACTTGTGCCTAGCAACCAGCCAGTCCATCTTCAGGCCAGTCTTCTCCTTGCAATCCCCCTTGATTTAGGAGCTTTCCCAGAACACAGGCACCACCTTTACAATGTGGTGAGGGACAATCTTAGAAAACAAACCCTGCAGCACTGCCACAAACCTCATTACTCACATATTCTTTGATGTCCTTTGATTTCACGGCTTTGTAAGAATAATATGCAGGGTAAAGAGTGCCAAATATAAGCCTGGGAAAAAAAACAAACAAATGGATTAAATTGATTTCCTGTCACAGAGAAAGATTTCCTCGCCCCCCCGCCCCCGTCTGTTAAATGTGTTTCTTGCACTAGTCTTAGGATTTGATTTAAGCTTGAGTGCACTAAGTACAGTACAGGACTGATTTTGCATCACTGAATTCAGAGAAACTATTGACAGTGGCGTGAATGAAGAGCAGGGATTCAGGTTGACTTTCCTTTTGCAATGGTTTCCATAGCTGTTACACACAAAACAAAACAAACAAAAACCCCAAAACAAAACAAAGAAAGGCCACCACACTTCTTTTAAAAGGAAATTAAAAATTTCAAAATAATCTACTGTGACACCAGGAACATAGGAGTGTTGCTTTCAGAGGCAGGACAAAATATCATTTGTCTAAAATACCTTCCACCTCTATTCAGCACTCTGAAAAGCTGGCAGAGGATAAAGCAGCATCCGAGTTCTACTGGCGCAAGGGTTAGAATTCTGGGGCTTTATCCTACATTAAACCTGCTAAAGGGAAGAGCCCTGCACTCCTCAGTAAAGTCGATTTGGGCGCGTCAAAGGAGGAGGAATTTGCCCACCAAGATATTCCAACAGCATCAGGCCTAAAAATCCCAGCTCTAGTGTTTTTTCAGACAGTTTTCTTTAGTTTTCAGGTCTGAGAAGGAGGCTGTCAGCTTCAAGATTTCATGTAAGAAAGAAATAAAGATCTGTAAGTTAAAAATAGCACTACTGAGAAAAAAAACATTGCGAGTTGTTTATACTAACTCCTCTCTGCATCACTGCCTTGCTGCTTATTCACTTCTATTATTCTGGACATAAGCAGAGGCTTGTCAAAATCACTTTGCCCTGCCCAAGTTTCAGTCAGTTTTATTCAATGCAGTAAGATGATGCTGCAAAATCTGAATTTAATAGATTGCAGGGGAATGTTTATTGGCTTGCATCCACAGCTCTTTCCACTGGAGCTTTTGCTTTAAATTCATACAGCTGTTTCCGCTGCTCTTGGGAATGGAAACGATCAATCTTTCAATCCCTAATTGTGGAGCCACATGGACCCGCAGTCGTCTTTTCCATCCTTCCAGTAGCGACTGTGTGCCATGGGACTCATAATTACAGTTGAGTCCATTACGTGCGTAAGACATTAAAAATTAACACTCTGGGATATGGTGTACCATCGTACTTCCCGGAGCTCAAGAAGGTATTTGTGAAAGAATGGAGTGAGCCAGCACACATCTTGATTTCCAAAGCAGTGACTGAAGACAATTTGTCTGCTATTCATCATGCTTACTGTAGCATAGCTTAGCAAAACCTGAAGCACAATGCAGACTTCAGAAACGCAGCTACTGAGTGAGGAGATTCAGTATTTTACAGAGGCTTCACGCTGGCTTCAAAAAGCTTTGCTGGAAACAATCAGATCTGAACCTGTTTCACCCATAGGGGCTGTGCTATATGCAGGGATTAGATAAAAATGCTCAGAAAGATTCTGGGAAACCAAATGCATTTTTGTCCTTTGCGGTATCTTAACAAACAGCAACACCATTTAAAGCAAGGAAGAACACACAGACAATAGCTTGATCCTGTTCTCACTGAAGCTAATAACAAATATTCCCTCAGAGTTCAACAGTAGCAGGACCTAATCCAAAGAAGGTAGTGCTCACAAAAGGAAGAAAGCTCTACAATATTCAGAAACTAACAGTTGAGCACATGAATAATATTTTTGGCTCTACTTATAAAAAGTACCGCATTTCTGTCCTTCCTTCTTGGCCTGGGCAGGCTGCTATCTCACGCTTTTCTTTCCTGCAAATAATCACTGAATGATTGATACTCATTTCCTCAGTTTGTGCTGGTAACAGAAAGTAACTGGATCCCGAAGAAGCAAACAGTTTACAGGATCACTAGAAAAGAATTAGTTGCAGACAATAAACACTTAAAAAAAATTCCCGTCAGGGAAGGAAACTGTGCAATACTTTTGCATATGCAGAGCAAGGGAGCAATAAGGTGATGTGCTTTCCCTAAATCAGAGATCGAGAGTTTCACTGATTTGCCATGTAGAACATTGTGTGCATATATGGACATTCATAACTGCTATGGTTTACCAGACTGAGAACTGTTTTAAGGAATGTTGGATCCCGGTCTTGTCACTGCTATGGCTTACTATGTTGCTTGGAGTCACTTAACCTCTGAGTACACCCTACAAACTGAAGACAAAAGATGTTCAGGCTTTTCTGTAAAGCATATTCAGGGTTTTGAAGACAAATACCTGCACATAGACATATTCCAAAAAGTCTCTGGAAGTTACTGTCTTCACTGGGCTTTGGATCAGGCTTGAGTACAGTTGATTTAATTCAAAAATACATGTTAATCTTCTGTCTCTTCCCTCAGTTCGTCTCCCCTGCTGAAGACAGTGCTTCTCTATTCCCCCTCATCCAAGCTTCCCGTGTAATTAAAGTTATTGTTGATTCCTGCTTTCCTTCATCCCCATGCTCAACTGTTGCCAAATCACTCCTGCACACTATACACAAAACTAAGGCTGATTCTTTGTCCCTCTGCCCAAGCCACTAGTCATTCCTTGTCTAAGTCTCCATTCCAGCCTCCCTTGCATGCTTTACTGATCTCTACCCCACCTGGATGCCCTACTTGCTTCTCCACTGCATATCAGCCCATCACCTCTAAAAAAAGCTGTTCCCTGACAGTTATCCTGACAGCCCACAGTTTGAGAGGTAGCAGCCAAAGCCACATAAATTCTAAGCATATCATTCCCCAGTTCCTCCTCACCTCTCTAACCTTCTTCTGCAACACTCCAGTTCTACCTGACATTCTCTGAACCACACCACAGGACCTTCAGCTTTCCTCACATATCCCCAGAATCACAGCAGAGACCCTCAGTTCCCTCCCACAACTGCCAGCTGACCTGGGAACCACATGTGCTATGACTCCTTCCATGGTGCATGCACTGACTGCCTGACTGGTGCCTGCCAGCTGGCAAGCCAAATTAATGACCTACCTATGGAGTTAACACTGCAGCTTTTACCTCTGGCGGACACTGCTATGAGACAATCTCCTACCCAGCAGCTAATTCTTATGAATAATGTAGAAACTTTACATTTGAGACCTCTCCAAGACAGCTATTTTGCCACAAACACTTTGTGGATCCAAAAGCTAGCAGCAGTGGAAAAAAAGACTACTTAAGCCTCATTTCCTTAGGAAACTAGGCTACAAATACAGAGTCAACCCACTCCCCACCCATTTCCATCTTTCAAAGCTCCTTTGAATGAGCTATGTACCCCGGAAAGCCTTAGCTCTTTTACCCTCTATGCAAAATTAGAAGCAGACATCCTGATCAGCAAACCAGGGACTCCCAGAGCTTAATGCAGTAGTTGCTCCATTTAAAGCTACGGAGGTGTGTTCCTACAGTCTGGGCTAAAACAAACACATACTCTCAGGGTATAGGGCAAGGCAAGGAAGTAGTGACATTCATCAGCATTCATCATTCTAATCAGAGTTAGGAAAAGCACTAAACAACCAACCACAACAGTCTAACAATTCTTACACTGCTCCATGCTGGTGGTCTACATCAATTACGATTGCCTTGAAAAAGGACAAAACAGCAGCTGTAAAGAAATCACTGAAGAGTCAACTAATAGTGCAACAGGAGGCAAAAATCTAAGTAAAAGGTTAGTCTTCCTAAAGAATCAATAAGGATTAATGCTGAAAATCTTGTAATCCTATTAGGCATATCAGAAGCAGCAATGCTCAGTCTGGACCGCTACGTGTGCTTCTGGTCATTCTTTGTCAAAAGGTGGAGGCAGAAAGGAAAAGGAGAAGGGCAACAAAAGTGTGTGGAAGCGCACTGAGGAAGATCCATAAAACGGACTGTAAATGCTGCAATTGTTTCTTTTGCAAAGACAAATAACTGAGGTTTTTTGCTCCTGCTCCTGATGCAGTGTAAAGGCATGTTCAACTGAATGAAGAGAACAAAGCCAAAAACCCTCTCTATCACTAGGAGTTAATCTGTGGAACTGACTAACTGTATTTATTTATACAATCACGTTACATGGGATTTGGGTTTTTTTTTTTGTTATTCAAGTTCACCACTAAATGAGACAGGAAAGAACAAAACTTCCCATATTGTGTGGTTTCTTGATTATCTGGGGAATATTAAAGCAACTGAACTGTTGGCTCCTCTTTAGTAATCTCTCTCATCAGCTGCACCATCACCAAATCTCCTTCTGTCTCCACCCACAGCCAGCCCTGGCTATTATGTTCTTCCTGTACCTTCTCCGATCTGCTAACGCAGTGATCTGACCATCACAGAGCACAGGCTAACACAGATGTGACAATATTCCTAATAGCATCTAGGTTATAGCCTGGGGATCAGCATCAGAGCTGGTACCAGGTGGGAGGGCCCCACATGACATCTTGAGTTCTGATGATCTGGTGATGTTACTTCTTCATGAGGGGCCTGGTCCTACAGCCATTTACCTGTAAAATTAATTTGCATATTCCGTACAGCAGCCACTGAAATATATAGAAAGGCTCTCCGCGATTCTCAGAAGTACTGGCCAAGACTCAGGTTATCTCCAGAAATGCCTGCACATCCATTCTCTTGAGTATTTTTAAACACACAGGTATTTTCTGGATGGTTACCTACTGTTACAAATATACCAGCACGATGCCATTCACATCCCAAGCCATCCAAGTTCTGCTCACCTAGTTACCACGCCACCAGCAGCGTTTGGGCTGCCCAAACATTTAGAACATTGTACTATTACAACGCAAATAGAACAGCCCTTATTTTGTCCATAAATAACTAATATTTCTATATCATTGGCACACAGCAGCCAAGATGGCAAACTTCTGCTCACACACAGGGATGGACATGTTTAGGAATCACTGAAATACTTCCTATTTCCTCAACATGTTCACTGGCTAGTGCGTGCTTCTTACACATGGAGCGGCAGCTGAGCTGTCACCGTGCCAGCATTCGCTGCTGAAACTGCCGAGAAGGGTGCCAATAGGTTTGCATTCCTTATTATCAGTCCTAATTAATGTTCACACAGTGCCACAGATTAAAAATAAACAGTACTGTCTTTGCACCAAAGGTTCCCAGTTTAAATCCAACAGCTGTGGGTGTGAAAATAAGCAGTGGACAAGGTCAGGTAAAGGGTTAATGCAAGCCCCTTGACAGGCCAAATGCCTGATATCCAAGAAGGGGTGGAGAAAGCACCAGCTGCAGAGAAGGAGGCTTCGGGGTGGTATTCCCTGGGAGATGGCTCCTGCAGATTCTGTGTGGTCATTTTGCGGCAGAATAGGTCCTGCACAGGGGCTTCAGGGCAGCCAGGAACTTGTCCATCCATCCCTCAGGGTGACAGTTGATGCCATCCCCACCCTGGACCTCAGGAGATGTGGATACCCAGCCATGCCAGCCTGACACCCCGATACACTCCAAGAATACCGAAGGTACACGGTGCCTCAGTGACAAAAACATACCCCAAGGAAAGCACAGGGCCCTGACACCCTTGAGGCAGATCAGGCTCACTTCAAACTCCATTTGCAACTGGAATCAAACAACCTTGCGGGGTTGGTTCAGAGCTGCCAAGGACAACCATGCAGCTGTGCCCATGCCACTTGGCCAGTCATTCACTGCCTCTGCAGGTATTAACAAGGTGTAAAGCTCCACTTGAACCGTCACCCAGCACGCCCCTCTGCTTTAGGAAACACTCCTCCCCACCTCCTCGGGTGGTGACCTGCTTAGCTCCTCTGAGCTGCTGAGACCTTGTCCTCAC